TCAACGGCTTTGTTTTGTAGATAGCTTCATAGGGCGTTGAGTTTCCTATGGCTCGGTTAGGGAGTCTGTTCCTAAGGTAGACAGCGGTGGAGACTGCTTCGGCCCAAAGGCTAAGGGTAAGTCCAGTCAGCATAGAGCGTGTCGATGTAATAATGGTACGGTTGTACTGTTCGGCAACACCATTGGATTCATGTGAGTAAGGAGGGATCTTATCATGCACAATTCCATGCTTCTGAAAAAGGGTAAGCATCTTGTCATTGATGTACTCGCCTCCATTGTCAGTACGGAATCTTTTGATCGTGGTGGAATCCTGGGTTGTTCTTTCCTTGATGAACTGTTCGAATACTTTTACCGTGTCGGACTTCGCTTTTATGGTGTATATCCATGCATAGCGTGTATTGTCATCGATGAAGATAATGTAGTACCAGGAGTTGCCAAATGAGCGTTTCAAGAATCGTCCGCTAAGGTCGGAGTGAATTAATTCGAAAGGGGTGTCACATCGTTTCTCTGTTGATTTGGGTTTTGACTTAGTTGACTTCGAGGTGATGCAGGTTTCGCATTGCCAGTCTTTTGGAATAGTAGGGATGGTGGGAGAGTCGGCGTAGTAGTCAGCTTTGAGGTATTGCGGCAATGGATGTCCAAGGGCTTTGTGCCATTCTTTGTAAGTCATCTTGTTCGCTGTTTCCTTTTCCTCTTGCACAACATAGTCCTGTCCGTCAAGCTTTCCCCATAGAACCTCTGTTTTATTTTCCCTAAAAACATACATATCCTTCCCAGAACTCCGCAAAGAAAAACCTTTTCCCAAAGAAACAATAGCGCTCCATGACAACAAGTTGCTAGAACCCAACTTAGGAACCCAAAGAACCCGTTGTAGAAAGACAGAGTCTGTCCGGCCATCAGATGTTTTGGCCTTAAGCTCCACTGTTCCACGGCCGCATGATTCTATTACCGAATCATCGCCTAACTTAACAGTGCCTTGTGAAGGTTCGAAGTTTATAAGAAGGTCTCGGTTCGAAGTCATGTGTGAGCTTGCACCTGTATCGATAACCCATTGATGCAGGTAAGGGGTCTTTTGCGTAGGAGGTGAGGAGGTAGAGGTACTGACCGGTTTGTATGTCACTTCCTTTCCGATCTTAGCCAAGTGTCCAGCTCTGTCCTTCTTTCGCTTCTCGTTGTCGGCCTTGAGCTTGTTACACTCATTCCAGGAGTGGCCTTCACTGCGAGCAGAGGGGTAGTGCTTTTTGCAGTAGGAACATTCCTTCGTTTCGGCTGGTTGCCGGCGGACCGTATCGCGAGCCTTTCCCTTTCCTTTGACATCAGCGCTTTTATATGCCTTATCATCCGCAGAATTAACCGAGGATTTCAAGTCCAACAGTTTGTTGTAGACATGATTGTAGGTAAGGTCCTCCTTGGTTTAGAGGTTGTCGACAATCTTGCTCATCGACGGAGGCAAGGAGCGGAGGAGAACGGCGGCTTTGGCTTCAGTTGACTCAAATACCGATTGAAAAACAAACGGTAGAGCGTATCGGTCGGTTTCCGAAGCAGAAGAGCAACGAAGTTGCATTCGATTCCATAGGGTATCGTACTTGTTGATGTGGTCCGGCATAGGTTCAGACGTATCGCACTTGGAATCGAGGACCGCATTGAGCGGGTCAAAGAAGGAGGAGGTATTTTCACGAGCGAACTTATCTTCAAAGGCTGTCCAAATGGCGGGTAGTGTCTTGTGGGTGGCCAGCAAGATTAGCCATTTTGGATCGATCATTTCGAGGAAGTAGGCCGAGGCCCACTGGTAACGATGGCGGAAAGAATCTTGAGCATCTTCATCATTATCAGTTCCGGTAGTTGCTCCTGCTTCCAGTAATGTTTCTTCTCCTTTCACTATGTCCCAACAATTGAATAAGGTGAGAACATATTCTGATATATCACGCCACATCCTGTAGTTTTCTGGGCCCGTGAGCTTTGGGATTGAGCTCGGTATATAGGTGGGTGCCCAGTCTCGCTTGGAGTTGGTGGAATGATTTTGCGGTGGCGGGTTGGCAGGGCCTGCAGGATCCATCGGTGGAGGTGGAGGTGGTGCGCCAGGCAGTGATGCAGGTGGATCAGTAGGAGGAGGAGCCGGAGGGAATGGAGGTACTGGAGGGAGCGGAGGTTGTTCAAGTTCTTCTTCAAAATTTTCGTCGTGAGGTGGAGGTTGGTTTCCGGCAGGTTCACCGGAATTTGACATGCAATAGGTTATTAACTTGTATTAAAAGTGTTAACCTATGTTGAAAATCCCTGATCAGTATTAATAACCACCACCCCCATTGGCCAGCACTCCTATACTAGTGAAACCCTGTTTGCAGAACACCCCGGTTGCACCTGAGGCCCACTGAGTTTCGCCAGCAGGGTCTGATTCAGGCTCCCAAAAGAATGAGAAGTATGGTTCATGCCATTCAAAACCTGCACGAGGCTGAAGTGATGTGTTACATGTGGCTGTACCTCATTTGATGCCAAGCCTTGAATTTTCCATGGAATTATGGTCAAGGGTTTAAATAATAATATATTTTAAATAGATTTAAAGATAAATAATATGAGGTTATAATAAAAATAACAAGAGAAGCGAAATGTTAAAATATTAACAAATATATACAATAATCTTTTGAAATATAGTATTATACATTAATCCAACTCTACTGTTTTATTATATATACTAGAGAAATAATGGTTGTTGTCATTAGGGTTAATAATATTGCTTATAGGTTACAGGTTATATTTACTCTTTTCAGTGCATAATAATATGAAACGAGTTAGAAAATTCAACACAACATACTTAAAACCAATCAAAACATAATAACCAAGTCAGGTGCGCAACTCACGTTACCTGAGTAAAATCCATGACTCATATATTGAGTCATGTGTGAAAGTCATAACATTGTATGACTCACAACTGTGAGTCATAAACAGGTAAACATAATAATCTATGGTGCACTAATATGCGTCATGTGAAATCCCAACATACCTATAGCTCGGAATTTCAGGCTATGTAAAATTTGCCTTGCTTAGTCACAGTTTGTGACACTACCCAGGAATTGTATGAGAACTCTTCTATCCTAACAGAATCAACATTCTCTTGAGACTTTAATTGAGATAAGCTTCAGCTTAATAATATTTAGTTTTACTATTTACTTTATTCAAGTTCTTTTACATCTACAAGAGCTGTATACAAAGTTTAGAGGTTTGGTACAGTCATATCCTTAGGATCTATCTTTCCAGAATAGGGGAGACCTCCCATTACAGATTGAACTTATTGTATATTTTCAAACATTATAATTATTATAATAACTAATCCTAATAGTACAAATTTTGACTTTAAAAGAAAATTAGGAAAGAAAATTAGAGAGTATAATAATTAAAATTATACAACATGTATAACTTTATATGATAAGAGAGTATAGGCTTATACATATATAGAGATAAACTAACAGAACTTGGAAGGCAGTTATTTCTATGGTGCAAAGCATCAAAAAGGTATACCAAAGCCATTGCATCCTGTAATGCCTTCATTTTACTAGGGTATAGAGACACAAGTAGGAACACTGAATTTTAAGGGTTCTAAGTTCAATTCATAATTAAGTCAAGGTTTTTTTTTGGAATTTGATGAATAATAAAATAAGTAGTAAGGTTTGTCACAATACAAAATACATATTTCTGTTTATTTCTTTAAACATACTCAATAACAATTAATTAAATCATATCATAATCTCTATGAGAATGGCAGAAAATATCTCTACCGAAGTAAGGTCACAGTCACCTTCACTAACCATAAATCCAACTACTCCCCGAAGCTGTAAAAGGCATAAGAGAATTTCAAGAAAAATATGTAAAAGAACTGTACCTTGACTATGAATTGAACCGGTAATCTTGAAGAGTTATTGCTCTTACTTGTATTCCTATACCCTAGTAAAATAGAGGCATTACAGGATGCCAGTGCAAGAGCCTTGGTATACCTTTTCAACGCTTTGCACCATACCTACTTAAAGCTGATATTACTGACAATAATCCATCCTATAAGAAGATATTTGAAGATCTTCTTATTGAATTAGATAATTCTGAAATGGGTTATATGCTTAAATGTCTTCTCAATCAATAATCCTACTTGAGTCTTACATCCTTCTTGATTTTTTTTTTGTAATTCCATGATCCTTAGCAAGGTATTTGATCATATTCCAAGTAGAGGCATCTTTGAACATTTTTGCCAGTGCTAACCACTGCAAAATACTTAAGACTTGAATATTGGTATTATTTTAGTCTCAATTATATCTAGATTGCTTTCATAACTGAGTAGAGTAATCATTATAGAAGCTGCTATATACATACAGTATTTACATCTCAACTACCACTTATTTCCATCCCAATACTCATTGCCATGTATTTGATTCCAACTCTAACTTTTTCTTATTTTTTTTTACAGGGAGAAAGTGTGCTGGAATGGAACCGGTATCACTTCCGAGTTGGTCAACTGAATTACTTCTGATTGTTGGTGTTAACAGGCTAGAGGGAGCTTCACTAAGATCACTCATTGCACTAGATACTGATCTTAGATGAGAGCAGTTATAGGAGCTTTGTAGCTGATGGCTTGAATAGACTTGAACACATTTTAGGTTTAACAGAACCGGGTCAACCGTACTTATAGAGTTCACATTAACTTGCAAATTCAATGGAATGCCTACTGAAGAGATAGAATCTGAAGGAAGGATAGTAAGATAGGACTGTGCGGGAGAATCTCGTGGTGAATTATCCCGCATTTCTTGGGTTGCTTGTAAATTGCTCGTGATATCCACTGTCAAAGCAGCTGCTGGCGGAGGCAATGTAAGTAAAAAAAAAAAAAAAGCTAAAGAAAGAAAGAAGTCAAGAAATGCAAAAGAAGTGGAACATCAGACTACCTTAAAATATCCCTTCTCCATCCTAGTCATTAAGCCTAGGCCTGTGGTGGAGGTTTCTGACACTGTAACATGGTTGTTGTATGCAAGGTCTGTACCTTAAACAGTTATATTCTATCAGATAAAAAAAAAAAAGTATGATACTCGTACTGTACCGGTAGTCTACAGCCCGCCATATTACCCCCTCCGGTGCAACCCCCGTCCCGCAACGGCATCCGTAAAGTTACGATAAACGTCCTCACCCTTCCAAGTGCCCCAGCCCTTAGGAGCACTTCGCTAATCCCCTCTCTCTCAGCCTTCAGTAAAAACAAATTGTGACAAAAGTTTACAATTTCCCTGGAGGCATATCTGGGAACAAGTGTCTGGAAGCCTCCCTCTGTTTTCTTGTTTTAGTTCTTGGGGCGCAAGAAAGGGTACTATACGAGAACTTTACGGACGCGGCTGCACTCGTATATTCACCGACTCCGCCATTTGAGTGAGAACCTATGAACCCGCCACCCGCCCAAATAACGGAAGAAAAAAAAGAATAGGAATTAGAGGCCGAATAAATAAACGGTTCGATAAACCATGAAGGCAGCAAACTCAACCGATATAGTGTACCCATGAGAGCGCCAAACGGCATACAAAACCTAGGAAAAGACTAAAAACGGAAACTAGGGGAATCTAACATGCCCAAAATACTATACTCCAGGGATATAATGCTGGATACGTGTGATCTCTAAAATCTCTACAACTCTGGAAGAGACTGGGGGATGGAACTGTGATTTTCTCAGTAAGTTAAGCTTTCATGTCTATTGTCGTGCATCCACCGCCAGACTTTTTGGTGCTGTTCGAGTGCGATGAATGTCAGGACCGTTTGGGGCCTTTTGCATAGTTAGCGGCCACAAATTCCATAGCGGAGCGTTTGTCGAGAAATATACCCTAGACGGATGAACGAAGGAACCCATCCCCGGAACATCCAGGAGACGCCCTCCTTCCCAGTAATATCGGTAAGGAGATGCACGATACCACGAGAATCATGGGAGGTCATAATTCTGGTCTTTATAACGTCCACGGGCGAACAAACGGTCGTCGCAACAAGCCCGCTCATCAGGCTAGCACTAAAATGCGTGACCAACCCATCCTCAAAGAAGGGGAGCTTTATAAGCTGCGCCTTGAATTGGTCGTAGGTGGCAAGTTGACAAGTGGACATAAGAGCAGCCCGAAGAGTATTCGGCCAAATCCCACGAAACAAGGAGTGAATGCCCTCCTCTCTCGTCATACCTGTCCCAATATCAGGAGCGGTCAAGACCTTGGTAAGAATTTAGATAATCACTTACGCGCGATTCCGTCTATTGCATTTCGGTAATTTCTACGCCGAGCCGGAGGATTTGCGCGATCTTGCTGCATGCGGACATTTATGATATCCGCAGGATTACCTGCAGCGCCACCTATCCTGGGGATTGTAAGCCATGGAGCATGGGTCATAGGAGCCTCCTCACCAGCCCGAAGCTGCCGCCATAGCGGAAAGCTTTACAAAAGGCAGCTTTTCGTCATCTGGCGAGAAGTGTTGCTTCATCTCTGCATAGACACCGAACCTTGCTGTAGAGTACGTAGCTGAAAGCCCAAATAAATATTGAGTGACTACGTTTCATGAGTTTATCTAGAGCAAGTGCGCAAACCTTGTCTCAGGATGCTTGCGGACAGCTTCGGAGAGTGTCAGAAGATAGCCCTAAAGTACTCTCCCAGTAGGCTTGCACCATGGCTTACCCCACTATAAACCGCAATTGGTCCTGCGATCACACACAACAGTCTCATCAGTATAACCTAGGCCTGAAAATCAGATTGAAATAGAGGGGGCAGCTTCCTCTAACCTTCATAACGGACAATCTTGAGGAATGTCCCAACCATTGATATTTGTGCTCCGGGAACCTTAGACATAGTCTGGAGGCGGACCTAAGAACTCGTAGCCTTGTATTAGGGGACACGATTCACGAGCTTAGAGCTACCGCACCAGAAGCACATACTTTGACCAAATCCCTATTCAATGTTAGTTATATTTCATGCTCATGGCAAATCCATTGATAACACTTACAAAGGATGTGTAAAGAAAGCAGCCATACAACTCGCACTACCCCCGAACCAAAAGGGATAATTCGGAGGTTTGCCACAGCTTTTTTCGCCCATGATGTCTGAGCGGGTGGTTGTTAGGCTGAAAGTAAAAGGGTTGCGGATGCTTCATGTAACAGGAGAGTGTGAGCAGCTGGCAGGGAAAACAGGCACTGAGCACCTGTGGTCACGTGCTCTTTTCCCCTGCATCCGAAGATGACCTAAGAAAGTTTTAGAGGGTGGAATGCCGTACCGGTGTGGAAGTGTCTCGGTTGTCTTCCGTAATTTGGATGGTGTGATTGACCAAGCTGACACCTGTGCAATTGTGATAGCTGTATGCCAGTGATGTGATATTCAATCAGATAAGAGTGTACAATTATGCTGATAAAGTTGACAGTACAACACAGTGAGAAAGCAAGAGAAAAGAGTGGGGAAAACAACATCCAGATATGATAGTAAGAGAAGGTGGTGGAGTTGGTTGTACAGGATGGGTCCTGGCTGTGTTGTTCCTCCTCTCTCTGAGGAAGGCAAGGCCATGCCTCCAGATGAAAAACATCCACCTACTAAGCCTCATCCCAAACAGAAAATTCTATGGGTATGATAAAAACCCAGAAAACATGACCAGAGAAACCCCTAAAACCTTCCTCGCGCCACACCGGTATGATATGACAAAGCAAAGGGAAATAGATGAGCTCTCGTCCAGCTTGGGATTAGACAAGAGCAGGTGCCGGTGGGACTGTTGCGGTAGTCAGCGCCCAACCGCTCGGCCTTCGATTGGTGGTCCTTGGGAACTTAATTTACAGGATCTGGAAGGGGCATTTATAGAGAGCTCCCCACCCGCACGCCAACCCGGAGTCCCGGCGCAAGGAGAGAGAAGACCACCGTACCGGTACGGTATCATATCCGGAATAGAGAGTGTCGTGTTTCCTATGTAGCAAAAACCTTGGTGCAAGTGCCCGTACTCTACCGTAACCGCTTCAACCCAGCCTTGTCCCATCACCATGCCAGGGAGGAGACCCTGCCGCAGAGCCTCACTTTACATCGTATCATACCATTCTTAAATTTAGAGCTTGTCGCTGGTTCTCGTCATCACACCCGTCCGCGCTGCCAGCGGGTTGACATAGCGGTGGAATACATAACCGCTGCCTCACCTCGTTATACAAATCAAGTCAACATGGTCTCCCTTCTCTGCAACCCCCTTGCGACAGTGGATCAGCTTGCCTCATCACCCAGCCGAGCTGATGGGGTTCCAGCTGACCTAGAGACCTCATTGAGATGGGCGGGAAGCGAGCTCATTCAAGGCGCCGGCGTACTTTTGCGATTGCATGTCACCCCTTCCCCCCCCGTTACATCCACCCCGTCTTATGCTACAGTACAACTGCTGACTTTTCATAGGCCGCAGAAGACAGTTGCTACGGCAATAGTCCTGTTCCAGCGTTTCTACCTCCTGTCGAGCATGCGTTCTTGTGCGATTATCGACACCTGCCACGCCGCAATCTTCTTATCTTCGAAGCTCACAGAGCATCCGGCGAAGCCCCGAGATATTATAAACGTGACTACCTATCTGCTCAATACCCCGTCACCTTCGCCGATCTCCCCGGCCCCCGCTACCGGCCGAGAATCGATACCTCCGAAAGAGTACTATGTTACAGAGCAGGAATATTACAACAAGCGAACACGCCTACTCAATGTCGAAAGCGAGATCCTAAAGGCCTGTGGATTCCAGACACACCTTTCGCTGCCCTACACCCTTTGCATAAACTACATCCAGTCACTCTCGGTGCTCTCGGCGGAATTTGTGAAGAGATCGTTCGGATATCTAACAGATGCGTTGCTTTCGCCAAGTCTTTTATACCTAACACATCAACCGAACTCTTTGGCTGTTGCTGCGGTATATATAGGGGCTCGGGAATGCGAGATTAAGTTGCCAGCTGCGTGGTGGGATGTGTTTGATTGTGAACGAGAGGAATTGGGGTTTCTGGTGGTTTGTATGAAGGGTGTAAAGGGGTTTGTTGAGAGTGAGAGAAATCTATGGAGAGGTAGAGAGCCTAGCGTCCCTTGGGAGTTAGAAAATTTAGAGATGTACCTGGAAAGGAGAAGGGTCCTAGATAGTGAGGTGGAGATCTAGCTCTACGAGCAACATAATTTTTTTGGTAGATTTGTTCTTTTTCTCTTGTTTTCCGTCCGGAGTACTCGCTCATGGTCGTAAAGGGCGGAAAACTTTGAGTGGCAAGACACGGATTTGGGGTGACGGTCCGCGTGGGTGGATGGGAAAAAAAGGTGGTATAGCAGGACATCTAAGATTCTGGGTCATTACACCGAGTGATAATTCATGACAGGGCGCTATAGTACAAAATTACATGTTAATGGATAGCTGTAAAACTGCATATATTTATGAGGAACAGTGAAGAGAAGACTTGTACCTGTAGTCATGTTTAAAGAATATCTAAATATATAAATATAGAACAATTCCTACTTGAAGTAAGGTCTTGATAAGAGGTAATATAGTTTTCTCTGAATATGACCAGATGCAGTAGCAATTCTTAGAATGCAAGGGAGCACTGCTAAATTTTCAGGATGTAATACCAAGACTGGACCTTGTGACCTAAGTGACATGTCATGTATATTGTGAAAGAGTCAAAATAAAGATCATTTGTAGTCATATTGGTTCTATAATACAAAGTACAGCAAGAAAAGCTCTCAGCCTCTAAGTAAGCACACCATACCTCCTATAACCCAGATGATAACACTATGGGTATTGGCACTGGACAGATGTTCAGTATACCATTGGAAAGTCAGCATCAAATAGAACCAGAGTGCCAAGTATCAGCTTCTGTACCTAAGGGACATCTATGGAATCTGGCATCAAAGTCAGCACTCTACCAGAACTCTGCCAGGGTAAAGACTACTTCTACAACAGGTTGTATCTCTACCAATAATAATGCTAGGTAGACATTCAATACACTATTGGAAAGTTGGTGTCAAGTAGAACCAGGACGCTGAGTGTCAACTACTCTGCCCAAGGGACACCCATGGAATCTGGTATCAAAATCAGCACTCTGCCAGAACTCTATCAGTACTCTGCCACTGTAAAGACCACTTCTGCAACAGGTTGTATCTCCACCAATACTGGCATCAAGTTGACTTTCAATACACTATTAGAAAGCTGGCATCAGGTTAGATCAGGTTGTTGAGTATCAGATGCTGTGTCCACAGAACACCTGAGGAATCTGGTGTCAAAGTCAGCACTCCACCAGAATTTTGCAGAAATAAAGACTACTTTCATAATAGGCTCTCACTCCACTAGTATTGGTACTGGATAGACATTTAATACACAGTTGAAAATCTAGCATCAAGTAGAATCAGGCTGCTGAGTGTCAGATACTGCACCTAAGGAATGCCTATGGAATCTGGTATCAAAGGCAGAACTCTACCAAGGTAAAGACCACTTCCATAACATATTATAACAGGAGCAATATCAGTACCAGGTAGAGGTTTAATACACTATTGAAAAGCTGGTGTTAGGTGGAATCAGGCTGCTAAGTATCAGATATTGTATATACAAGATACCTGAGGAATCTGGTATCAAAGTCAGCACTCTACCAGAACTCTACCAAGGTAAAGCCTGAGACCACTTTCCATAACATATTATAACAGGAGCAATATCAGTGCCAGGTAGAGGTTTAATACACTATTGGAAAGCTGGTGTTAGGTGGAATCAGGCTGCTAAGTATCAGATATTGTATATACAAGATGCCTGAGGAATCTGGTATCAAAGTCAGCACTCCACCAGAACTCTACCAAGGTAAAGACTGCTTAATTTTTTAATTCAATTCAGATATATATTCTCCTTGATAATATTATATATTCCTCTACTTAGTATTATTTCTAGACTAGGAATATTACTACAGCTGGAGCATATATTATGTATATTTCATTAATATTTCATGATATGATTAGGGGATTATCATGTATTCTTTTCTCTGGTATTTGGGTTTATTTCTTACATTTGGGTGTTGTTATGCGAAAATGGTCCAGACACCTTAAACCTGGTTTTGAGTAATTACAGTTTCATGTTTGCATAGCAACCACAGAAAAATGATAAAACATAAAAATATTTCATACTCTTACATGTAACCAGTGTTACAAAATTCTTTATAGAAGGCAATTCTACTACTAAAAAAGGCTCTTAAATATTTTTCTGATAGCTGAAAACTCAGGCTACGTATCTATGGGAAAAAGAGAAAAGTGTAAAATCTGAAAAAATCTAACTGTGAGTCAATAGATGCACAAATTTCCTTGAAAAATATTTTTTAAGATCATCAGAAGGGACTCTTCAAGTGGAAGAATAATTATATGCATTGAAGCAAATTTGTTGCATTGGTAGAGTGGGCCAATTTTCGCATATCAACACCCATTTTATACATTATCATGTGTAACAGACAGGGTCTGAGGGTCGGGTAGCCCAAGGCACACCACGATCAGGATAGGCAGGAATCTGGAGACGAGGTCTAGGTGCGGGGGTACAACCGAAGCGAGTTGTATGAGGTTCGGGGTTCAGGGGGTTCAGGGTCAGGGTTCAGGGGGTTCAAGAGGACGCCAGAAAGTGAGAGT